TTGTGACGAAAGCAGAGCTCAGTCTGAAAACTAAGCTCTCGATATTCAAGTCAATCTTTATCCTCATACTTTCCTACGGTCATAAATCGTGGACCATCACTGAGAAACTTCGAACCCGGGTACAAGCTGCTGAAGTGGGCTTTCTTAGACGAGTCGCCGGCCTTAAGCGTCTCGACATGGTCCGGAATAGTGACATCCGGAAGAGCTTTAGAATACAACCTTTGCTTCTCCAGATTGAGAAGTCACAGTTGCTATGGCTTATGCATGTGTTGGGAATGCCTCCAGAAAGGAAGGCTAAGCAACTTTCTTGGGAATCCGACCGGCAGAAGGCCCAGGGGACGGCCAAGAGTAACCTGATGCAAATATATTGAAGGAGTCTGTTCCAGAATGCATTTGTCTTTTGCCGAAGCTCAGACTCCGGCACAAGATCGGGAGTGTTGGAAGCTTTGTCTGACGTGTCTGCCTCTGCGACCCGAAAGAAGGAGCGGCGATGGAAGATGAAGATGAAGGCATGAAAAGCAAGAGAATAATGTACAAAAGAATATACAACTTTACATCAAGATCATTTTGCATAATGATAGGCTAAATGACGCACGATGTATCAGTTCTCAGAGGATGGAGGCATGTTGGCGTTCGTGATTAATATGCACCTGATGATAAAATGTATAGCTGATCATTTGTAACTTTTCTTGGGGCAGACAGTAGGCCTGAGATGGGTTCTCATTGGCTGTAGATTAGACTCACGCTCTCGCATCGGTTATTGTTGTAGATCGTCCGATTTTTTACGTCAAGTGAAGCTGGCGTCGAACACTTTTCTTTCTGTAGGCAGAAAAACTTTCACTTACAAGTTAGGACGAGTAACGGCCGGTGTAAAGTTCATCAGTAGGTACGGCAATGAAGGGCATCGCTACATTGGTAATGTCTGGTTCAAACCGGAGGTTACCATGGATCGCACCAAACGCGGCGATGAAGAACGAGAACGACACTTTCGTCCTGCTCGATGAACCTCGCATGGTTCGAAAAGTAGCAGTAGTGCCATCGTTTAACACCGGCAGTGACTAGAGACTGCTGGCAAGGCTAGCCTTCGAGAGGAAAATCAAGTGGAAGGCATCGCAAATGGCAAATCGCAGACAACGAACGAAGGTGTTCGACTTTGCGGCTCGGGAATCGCTCATCTCCAGCGAAGAGTGGAGCCTCGAAAGCAACTGCGATGTTCG